AGGTTTTTTTTTGTTGTTTGTTCTTGAGACAGAGTCTCACTCTGTTGCCCGGCTAGAGTGAGTTGCCATGGCGTCAGCCTCTGCTCACAGCACCTCAACTCCTGGGCTCAAGCGATCCTCCTGCCTCAGGCCTCCCTAGTAGTGGGACTACAGGCATGTGCCACCATGCCCGGCTAGTTTTTTCTTATATATATATTATTTTTAGTTGGCCAATTAATTTCTTTATACTTATAGTAGAGACGGAGTCTCGCTCTTGCTCAGGGCTGGTTTCGAACTCCTGACCTTGAGAGCCGATCCTCCCGCCTCCGGCCTCAGAGTGCAGGATGACAGGTGTTGAGCCACCTCGCCCGGCCACACAACTCAGTTTTAATAAGTGCCATTGAGGCTGGGCATGGAGGCGGGAGGATCGCTCACGGTCAGGAGTTCGAGACCAGCCTGAGCAAGAGCGAGACCTCTGTCTCTACTAAAAATGAGAAGAAATGAATTGGGCCATTAAAAAAATATAGAAAAAATGAGCGGGCATGTGGCGCCTGCCTATAGTCCAGGCTACTGGGGAGGCTGAGGCCCGGAGGATCGCTGGAGCCCGAGGGATTGGAGTTTGCTGTGAGCCGAGGTGACGCACGGCATCATCTCTAGCCCAGGGGCAACAGAAGTTGAGACTGGTTCATAAAAAAATAAATAAATATAAAATAATAAAAAACCGCGTGGTGGCGGCGTTGTGACACAGGAGACTTGCCAACCGCTGGAGGCGTGGGGACCCGACAAGCGGACTGCCACTTAAGTCTCTGCCACCTTGTTGCTCTGAGTGTCCCTCCGTGGGGTGCTTGTGGGGGCCACATCCCTTCCTAATGTGCGTTTGCTGGTCCTGCCCAGCGTGCTGTGGGGGACTGACGGTGGCTCGCGTCTCTCTCCGTCCCCACGCAGGATCATGGCTCTGTCCAGATACCCGATCGTGAGGTCGCAGCACCACCTCCTCCCGTCGCCAGAGGGCGAGATCGCACCGGCCATAGCGCTGACGGTCAATGTCTCCCACCAGCTGGTGCATTTCGTCGTGACACACTTTGGGAATCACGAGTGAGTTCCTTTGGTCTCTGTAATATTCCGTAAATGTCAAGAAATATTATGGGCCGGGCGCGGGGGCTCACGCCTGCCATCCTAGCACTCTGGGAGGCCAAGGTGGGAGGATCGGTCTCAAGGTCAGGAGTTCCAGACCAGCCTGAGCAAGAGCGAGACCACGTCTCTACTAAAAAAATAGAAAGAAATTAATTGGCCAACTAATATATATATAGAAAAAATCAGCCGGGCATGGTGGCGCATGCCTGTAGTCCCAGCTACTTGGGAGGCTGAGGCAGGAGGATCACTTGAGCCCAGGAGATTGAGGTTGCTGTGAGCTAGGCTGACGCCACGACACTCTAGCCTGGGCAACAAAGTGAGACTCTGTCTCAAAAAAATAAATAAATAAGAAAAAAAGAGAAATATTACCAATCATTTCCTTCGATGTCTATGACATGCCCTTTCTTACTTTCTTCTTTTTTTTATTTTTCCCTGTGTTGCTGGTTTTTAAAAATCAGACATGAATGGCTCACGCCTGTCATCCTAGCACTCTGGGAGGCCGAGGCGGGAGGATTGCTCAAGGTGAGAAGTTCAAGACCAGCCTGAGCAAGAGTGAGACCCTGTCTCTACTAAAAATAGAAAGAAATTAGCCAGACAACTAAAAATATTTAGAAAAATTTAGAAAATTTAGAAAAATATTTAGAAAAAATGAGCCGAGCATGGTGGCGCATGCCTGTAGTCCCAGCTACTTGGGAGGGAGGCTGAGGCAGGAGGATCGCTTGAGCCCAGGAGTTTGAGGTTGCTGTGAGCTGCATTTCATCTTTGCTCTGTATAAAGTAAGTACTATTCGAGCCCTGGAAAGAAACTAGGCTAAGAGAGGTTAGATGACTTGTGCAACCAGGAGCACACAGCTAGGAACTAAGGAGAGCCACACCCAGAGCCTGCAAGTGCTGAGAGCCACACAGTAAACCAGACTACAGAAAAATGAATTCCCTTTTCCTCATCACTGCTACACACGGAAATACTGTGGGGGTTTGAGGGTGTTAAATTACCTTCATCCTCTCATGTTTTCACAAACAACTGATAGATGGGCAGAGAAATCTGGTAGAGGGAGATCAACATATCACTTTGGTTTTATTTATTTTTTGAGACAGAGTCTCACTCTGTTGCCCAGGCTAGAGTGAGTGCCGTGGCGTCAGCCTCGCTCACAGCAACCTCAAACTCCTGGGCTCAAGTCATCCTCCTGCCTCAGCCTCCCGAGTAGCTGGGACTATAGGCATGCGCCACCATGCCCGGCTAATTTTTTCTATATATTTTTAGTTGGCCAATTAATATCTTTCTATTTTTAGTAGAGACGGGGTCTCACTCTTGTTCAGGCTGGTTTCGAACTCCTGACCTTGAGCGATCCTCCCGCTTCGGCCTCCCAGAGTGCTAGGATGACAGGCCTGAGCCACCAGTTAGAAAAGCAACGTTGTCGTACAGTAACTTTTATCTAAGCAAAACTAATGTGTCTGCTGCCCTTATTTCCTTGGTTACTTCGCTTTTTGTCACCGTATTATATGGATCTGTGAAAGCGTATTTGAATATTTTCTCAAATAAGTTTGAGAATAAGTAATATAAATAAACCATCCAAATATAATTAATATGAACGAGACTTGCTTGTATCCTTAGAAATAAGAAGGGTGTTTGGAGCATAGACGATGTAGATCGTATCACTTTAAAAAGCTATTTGAAGAAATGCCTTCTGCTTCTCTCAGTAATTTTTTTTTTTATTTTTTATTTTTTTGAGACAGGGTCTCACTTTGTTGCCCAGGCTAGAGTGAGTGCCGTGGCGTCAGCCTAGCTCACAGCAACCTCAGACTCCTGGGCTCAAGTGATCCTCCTGCCTCAGCCTCCCGAGTAGCTGGGACTACAGGCAGGAGCCACCATGCCTGGCTAATTTTTTGTATATATATTTTTAGTTGCTCAATTAATTTCTTTCTATTTTTAGTAGAGACGGGGTCTTGCTCTTGCTCAGGCTGGTTTCGAACTCCTGACCTCGAGCGATCCTCCCGCCTCGGCCTCCCAGAGTGCTAGGATTACAGGCGTGAGCCACCGCGCCCGGCCTTTTCTCTCAGTAATTTTTATGTAGCAAGTAGAGGCATTCAAAACTCATTCCGCTGACCTTTCGTTGCATTTCAGTTGGGTTTATCTTTAAAAAATAGGTACTTTTGTGTTTAAATGGTGCAAGGTCTCAATCTAAGAAGCAGTTGAATCTACTCCTTTTCTTTTTCTCCTTTGCTTTCTTTTTTCTACCCCCTTTAACTCCTTCCCACCCCTCCTGAAATGTAGGGAAGAGAAAACTAAAAGACAGCCCTAGGAATGGGCTGGGAAAAAGGAAAAGTTGAGTTGCCTTTTCTGACTTTCTATTAACTACTACCCACTTAAAGCTCTCTGATGAACACCATATCCTTTACTTGTTATCTTACTCATTGGATTTAATAATAATGACAAAAACAATACCAATAATAATAGTAATAATAATAGCTAACACTCTTTGAGGCTCTCTAACTCCAGGGAGGAAAGCAGTGTAGTTTAATGGTTAAGCCGGCTGCTAAGCAGGACAGGCAGCGGTGGCAAAACACCCGGCAGGCTGCATAAATGTCGGGTGGCATGTGGCCCTCGGGCCGTAGTTTGAGGACGCCTGGTTAAGAGCATGAGATTCCGAAGCCTGGAGTCAGACAATCTGGTCTGAATCCAAATTCAGCCACTAGCTGTGTATCCTTCACCAAGTAATTTAACTACTACCACCTTGAAGGGTAGGTTCCTTGTCTCTAAATCAGGGGCGATAGTCTTACTTCACAGGGTTCTTGTGAGAATTAAATGAGACATATTATCTCATGCAAATTACGTGAATATAGCAAGTGCTAATTAGGACTGGCCATAATTAAACCAGATCGGATAATTCTAAACGTAAGGTGTACCGGGTAGTGTAAGAGGAATTTATTCATCAGACGTGGCCATGTCACTAGCACCGTGCTGGGCACAGTCCCTGCCCTTAGGGGCATCTCAGAAGCACTGTCCATAAACCCTGGGGCCTCCCAACGAGTGACATGGGACAGTTAACCCGTGGAATAATTTGTGAATGCATCATTCCATATTTTTGTTTGCTTTTGTTTTCTATACTACTAGATATGAAATACAAAAATTCTTACCGTGAATACATATTTAGAGATTTCATTTTCTGGTGATAATGGCATACAAATGTGAAAATCCTGTTAGGAATGAATCATAGAATGCTTGTGCATGTTATTAGCTGATTCAACAAGACTTTTTTAAAATTACTAACTATAGGCCGGGCGAGGTGGCTCACGCCTGTAATCCTGGCACTCTGGGAGGCCGAGGCAGGAGGATCGCTTGAGGTCAGGAGTTTGAAACCAGCCTGAGCAAGAGTGAGACACTGTCTCTACTATAAATAGAAAGAAATTCATTGGCCAACTAATATATATATAGAAAAAATTAGCCGGGCATGGTGGCGCATGCCTGTAGTCCCAGCTTCTTGGGAGGCTGAGGCAGGAGGATGGCTTGAGCCCAGGAGTTGGAGGTTGGTGTGAGCGAGGCTGATGCCACGGCACTCACTCTAGCCTGGGCAACAAAGCAAGACTCTGTCTCAAAAAAAAAAAAAAAAAAAAATTACTAACTATACAAATCATCTCTTTTGCAACCAATAAATAGGATATAGCATTTCTTAGAAGTCATTGAGATAAACGCCGTCAAGAAAATTGATATTATTATAGGTAATTAACTGAGGCACCATTTAATCACCATTTCTTTAAAAAAAAAAAAAAACTAGAACATGCATCATGTGCAAAGAGGAGAGAACACAGAACCCGTAGTCTGGAGACTTCTGTTCTGGTTTTGGTTACGTTATGGTCTAACTTTGGTCAGTTCCAGGTCTCTTGTCTCTGAAAATGGGATATGATGCTCTTTTCTTGCTCACATTGTAGGGTTTATTGGGCAGATCAAATAGTAACTCTCTCTCGATGTTTCTCCCCCATCCTCATAATCTATTTTTTATTTTCATTACTATCGCTAGACAAGATTGATCTCTTGAAAACAATGTAAAACCAAATTCACAGATTATTTCCAGTAATAGATTGCTAAAACATATTTGAATGAAAACGCTGTCCGTTGGGCGGTGGGTTTGGAATTTTCAAGAGCTGGGTTTGAATCCGAGCGGCCTGCAGCAGAGGGAACAGAATTCAGTGTAGACCTGGCGAAAGGACTGGGTACCAAGGTGTGGGAACAGACCAGGGAACAACTAAGAGAGGCTGAGCACAGAGAGTGGGAATTGTCACCAGCCTTAGAGCTGAGGGGACAGGCGGAGGAAATAGCTGGTGAGATCTGGACCCAGGAAAAGGGGCCAGTTGGCATGAGGAACGCAGCTGCCACCAGAGGGGCTGGGGAAGAAATGGCCCAACTTCCCTCTTGTCCCAACTTTTTGTCTCCTCTTGGTGCCTCCCACTGGCCAGACTTAGCTGGGAACCAGCAGACAAGGAGCTCGGGAGACGAAATCTGCAGGGTCAGCCTTCTGGGGCACAGAGAGGGGCCAGAGACTGGATCTGGGCCGGGGAGATGGAGACAATCTCATTTAAAAATAGAGCTGTCGGCCGGGGCGAGGTGGCTCACACCTGTCATCCCAGCACTCTGGGAGGCCGAGGCGGGAGGATCGCTCTCAAGGTCAGGGGTTCGAAACCAGCCTGAGCAAGAGCGAGACCCCCGTCTCTACTAAAAATAGAAAGAAATTAATCGGTCAACTAAAAATATATAAAATAAAATAAAAAATAAATAAAAATAGAGCTGCCACCTGCCTGCAATTATTACGAGAAGTCAGTATCAAGGGTGGTTAACAAATGGTCATTCTTTTCACTCTCCTATTTCTTTTTTTTTTTTTTTTCTAACAAGTCAGTTGTCTGATTCTCTCCTATTTCTTGAGACGTCTTTTAATAGCACTCAGCTGTCCACACATACGTGTCCAGCTCAGTCCTGTCTTCAGATCATACCTCAATGAGGTCTCTCCAATCTTCCCAGTCCTCGATGACCTCCCTCTACCTTTCTTTGCCTTTGTTTTCCTTATCACTCATTACTTAGTTCCATTTCTGTGTAAGTGCCGGTGTTTATCTACTGCCCGTCTGCTCTTGGATCCACTCCTTGCTCTTATTCTTGGCTCTGTGTTGCAGGGAACTACGTTTCCCAAAGACCCTTGCCTTCCGGCTTCTGGGTGGGTTTAGCCAATGGATGGGAGGCACTCGAGCAAGGTCAGAGGGCAGGGGACAAGGGAGTGGAGAGCTGCCACCACCCTCTCTCTGCTTCCTCTGGAGTCTCTGGCTCCTCCTGGGCAGCCTTCTCCATACTTCCATCTCCCACCAGTCAGGTGTGGCTTCTGGAATCTGGGCGTATGGCCTCCTTTGCTGTCCCTCCAGCTACTGCTTCCTCATGGCTGCTCATCTCTGGTTGCCTCCCTGATCCCTGTTTGGCTTCCCGTCACCTAGGCAACCAATCCCCTATATTAAATTCACTTTGTTCGAAACACCTGGAGTGTTTTCGGTTTTTTTCCTGGCTGGCTCATGTTACATGCAACGCCCTGTTTTTCTCCAGACTGACTGACTGTAAACCGCTCCAAAGCCTTGATATACCTGCTTAATCATCTCAGCTGTTTGTGTCTGCAGTGCTCAGCATAATAAGAGCACCATGTCCACCCTGTATTTGTGCAGGAGAGCCAAGGAGCCTTTCAGCACGTGTTCAGCTGAAGGAACCCAGTAGGTTACACAAGGCCGATGTACTGTAAGAATGTTTGCATTCTCCTTCTTACCAGTTTCCCTGGGTCCCTTTTATTTATTTATTTTTTTTATGTTTTTGACTGTTAGTTCTTTAGCTGTAATACTGACGATGAAGTCTCACGTTACTGATGTGATCTCTTCTGATGAAAAGTTGAACCAGTGCTGTATTTAGAATAGAGGCTTACATCAGCTGGACTCCAAATGATTTGCAGAGAAAGGTCATATTCTTAGTCGAAAGTTTGCCAGCCTAATCAGTCGAAGCACTGTGTCTAAGTCTTGCTCCGTTGTATGACGTTAAGACATTTGGCCAACTACCGAATTACTCTGGTTTGTACACTATTTGAAGATATCCTTTTGGAATGTGGGTACCTAAGACTTTTTTTTTTTTTTTTTTTTAGAGACAGGGTCTTGCTCTGTTGTCCCGGTTGGGATGCAGCAGTGTGATCCTAGCTTACTACAGCCTCGAACGTCTGGACTCAAGCAATCCTCCTGCCTCAGCCTCCCAAGTAGCTAGGATTACAGCTCCTAATATTTCTTAAGATTGTTTTGTAAACACAATATCGATTTTTTTTTTTTAAAGAGACGACCTTGACAGGAAACTGCAGGCAATCGCTGTTTCGAAACTACTGAAAAATAGCTCTAATCCGGTGATATTTCTGGGCTATATCACGTCGGCACCTGGTTCCAGAGATTATCTACAGCTCACTAGACATGGCAATGTGAAGGTAATGTCATCACAGCAGGATTTCTGATTTATTAAGTAAAATGTTTCTTTTTCTTTCATGTTAACAAAAAAGCCAACTCAGCCCAATAATTTAATACGTATTCTGGTTATCTACTGTGTTTCCCTGAAAATAAGACAGGGTCTTATATTTGGTTTTCCTAAAGAAGACACCTAAGGGCTTATTTTCAGGGAATGTATTATTTTTTTAAGTACGGTACAACAATCTACATTTATTCAAATATAGTTAAATTGTCTTCTGGAACATCATCCTCACTCTCCAAACCCCGAATCCCATCCTGAATGTCTTGCGACTCTATTTCCTTTAGAGCCACTGGCCCCGATCTCTCCTGTGGAGCACTAGAGCTCTCACGGGGCGGATGAGAAGGGCTGCTCGTGTTCTTTCCTGCTCCTCGACGACAGGCATGGGTTGTGCAGATGCGCTGTGCAGCCACGCCCATCACTAGGGCTGATTTTCATAGCCACGCCCATCACTAGGGCTGGTTTTCATAGCCACGCCCACCACCAGGGCTGATTTTCATAGCCACGCCCATCACTAGGGCTGATTTTCGGGGTAGGGCTTCTATTGCGCACATGCTTAGACATCCTGCTGGGGCTTATTTGATGGGTAGGTCTTATTTTCAGGGAAGCACGGTACTGCTACATAGAAACCCACCACGAAACATGCTAGCTTAAAATAACAGAAATAATTTATTTGGGCCGGGCGCGCGGTGGCTCAAGCCTGTAATCCTTAGCATCTGGCGAGGCGAGGCCCGGGGCGGATTGCTTGAGCGTCAGAGTTCGAACCACGCCTGAGCAAGAGGGCAGACCCGTTGTACTATAATATGAAGAAATTAATTGGCCCCACCTTCAATATATATACCTATTACGTATATAGCACTTATATATATAATACACTACTTATAATATATATTATAAAATTAGCCCGGGCTGGTGGTGCTATGCCTGTGTCCCAGCCTACTGGGAGGCTGACGAGAAGTTTATGTGAGCCCAGGAGTTGCCCACTTCAATGAGCGCGGTTGCTTTGGCTAGGTGACGCCATGGCCTACTCTAGCCTGGGGGCCAGACAAAAGACGAGACTCTGTCTTCAACAATAAATAAATCTAAAGATACAAATATAAATTTAAAATCATTTATTTGTGCTCAAATCTGTGGTTTGGACAGGACTCGATGAGGATAGCTCATCTCTTGCTCCGTGGCAGGGTCACTGGTGGCTCACTGGGGGGACGCTGGACGATACTGTAGACGTGATCAGTTAGGTGGCAAGTTGGTGCTTTGGGCTGGAAAGAATGTTGGTTCTTGTCTGTGGCGCTTCTTGGGCGTTCCTCGCATGCACTGGCGGCTGCCTCCAATAGGCCAGATGTCCCAAGGAGAACCAGGCAAGGAACCCTGTATTGCTGTGTGAGACTCAGCCTTATAAGTCATATAATGCCATTCCTGCTATCATCACAAGTCTGATCACATTCCACTGGAAGGAACACGAACCCCACTAGCTGATGGAAGGAGTATCAAAGTCCCATTATAAAAATGCCATATGGAAAGTGAGATATTGTTATAGCCATGTTTAGAGAATACAGTCTCTGCCACATTATGACAGTTGATTATGATGTCGAGATTAAAGACAAAATGACATGTCACGCAGAGAGAATGGCTCACCAGCCGGATGGGGCCACGTGAGATGACACTGAATTAACTTTTATCTTTTCAGGTCTAAAACACTTGAATTTGTTAGTGTACCAAGACATAATCATGCTCTGGGGAACTGACACACGAATCAAATCCTCCAGAGATTGATGTATATATATATGTATATATATACACAATGCAATACAATACTATATATATATACACACAATATATATATATTACAATGCTCAATGAATTCATTTATAAGGAGAAATGTAATTGTTATATTTAGTTAAGGCCTATGTAGATTTCTTGGTCCTTTTCATTTTGACTTCCTGTCTTAAGATAATAACCTTCAGATCAAAAGGCTTATCTATCTTACGTCGATTTTATTACTTTAACTCTCTTCTTGGACTGTAACATTGTTTCCTGAGTGCTTAGAAAGACAGGAGAGAGAGAGAGAGAGAGAGAGCATGGCATGATGGGGGGTTTCTGCAGGTGACAGAAAGCCCAGATGACAGTGGCTTAACTAAGAAAGAAGTGTATTTCTTTATGTAGACATCTGGGCAGGTGCACTGGTATGGCCACCATGGTGTCTGGAATCTGTTCCCGTCTTGTGGCTTGCCTGCTCCATTCCCAACCTGGCAGCAGCATCGTCTAGCTAGCAGATCAGAGGAAGGGATAAAGACCTGGCCAGGTGCACACTCAAGTTGTCTCTGAAGGCAGGTTCCAGGAAAGCAACCTCCAAGACTTCTACTTACATTTCAGTGACTGGGATTCCGTCATATGGCCACACCTGGCCACGCAGAGAGTGGATTGTGCAGCCTTCAGCCTTGATGGCTGAACACCCAGCCATGAATACTACTAATATGATCTTGGAAGAAGGGCAGGGCAACTACTGGAGAGATGAGTTGGTCTCTGTATTCATGGATAAGGCAGAAAGTAGAGTCATGATGGATTCCTGATTTGGGGCTCTAGTCAGAGGGCTTATGATGGTGACATTTGTCATTATGTAGAAAATACATAAAGAAGAATAGTTTTGCAGAGGAGATGGGAAGTTCAGCTTTGGGCTGAGTTTGAGACATCTGTGGGACATTAATGGAGATATTCAATAGGCAGAGGACATAAAGATCTGGGATTGAGAAGGGCAATCAGGACTAGAGGCGTGGGTTAAGGAGTTGCTACCATAGAGGTAGTTGTTAAAACCATGGATGACATTGCTTATTGAATTAGAGACATGCAAAAGAAGACCAAAGAAAGCCCCAGTTAGGCCACGTTGAATGCAGCTATCGTGGGATGGCGGGTAGGGAACAGGAGGCAGATAATCTCAGGAAAGAAACGAAGGAGCATGAATGGAAAATTGCATTTCCATTCACAAGAGTAAATGGAAAAAAAAAAAAAAAAGAGTAAATGGAAAACCTGGAGAGTGTATAATCGCAGAGGCTGCGATCAATCGTTTGTAAAAAAAAAAATGTAACAAAATTATTGCTTCCATAAATTTTCTCTCAAGAAGACCGAAAAAGATACAGTAATAACAGACGAAAAACACAAAAACCAAACCCCTCTGCTCACCTGATCAGCCCTCGATACATAATGTATTCACACCATCTGTCGTAATCTGTGCTGTCGATATCCTAATAAAGAACAGAGAAGAGAATGCTTAAAGCATAAAAAAACCAAAGCTCTATGCTGCATTGCCAAAAAAAAAAAAAATCAATGTGATAAATATCCCTTTGTGCATGCTACTTTCTTCCTTGGTCCTACTGGTCGTTAACGGTCCAAGTTTGTATCATTCGCAGAGCATTTTGAGCACCTAA